ATGAGGTCATATGAGGTCATGCACAGCCATGCACAGCAGGTCACCTGACCATCCAATCCTTCCAGCAGGTTCCAGCACATGCCAAGGTATACCAGCTACTTCCATGTCATAAAGGCTTAGTCATGTCTCTTGACCAAGCAATGAGCTGGTGCCCTGACACAGACTACCACACAACATACTACCTCAACTATTATTGGCAAAAGGGCTCAGTGTGAGGGCAACATGATCCAGCAAGGCTGATTATTGAGAACTCTGAACAGAGATAGGAAGAGATCAAAAGGAGATTTGGCAGAATTGACAGATAGTCCAGAAAGTTGGGGGGTTTTGGGGTTTAGCAAGGATGAAGCAGAGGTTTTGAAGTCAGATAAATTCCAGATAGTTAAGCAGAGGCCAAAGAGTCAAAAGGTATCCAAGAACAACACAAAGCTATCAAAGCTGTCAGGGTACAACCTCTGCAAACTCCTATGCAAACCTCAATTTGGCCCAAATGCCACTGTTTCGACACATTCGACCCCTCATTTGAGGCTATCAGATATGAAAGCCCCTTCTGACAGGCCTCTCTCCCCATCTGGGATAGATGGCAAGGCTATCAGTGATTGTGCACCTTTTGCAAGGACTGAACACTCAAGTCACACATTTGCTCAAGACTGTCAGTCATGTTGACTAGAGTTTTGACCCCTTCATCAAGTTGCTAGGACACCCAAAGGACTTTGGGGCCTAAGGCATAGGGGGTCAGGGTTTGGACACCTTTTGGACCAGCTGATCAATCATGTTTGACTCTTTGCAGGCTTTGGTCATGGGCCTCAGCAAGGCTTTTAACAGATTGAAGACAAGTAGCCACCTTTTGGCAACTTTGGCTACTTACTTGAAGTGCCTATGACTCAAGTATAGGTGATCAGGATCAGATTGGATCTCAAAGCATGTTCCAGCCAGGCTTTGGCTGACAATTGAGAAGTAGGGGTGAACCCTAGTGTGGAGATCAGGAGACTTCACCCATGATCAGGAGACCTTCAGTCACAAGGTCTGCCCTGAGGTAAGATGGACAAGTACAGTTTCTCAGCCACAGTCTATTGCTTCCTTTTGTTTCCTTTGGCATGTATATGTAGGCACTGGTCTGAGGGCACAGAAGCCTCAGATTTGGTCTCTCAGGAATCCCACCATCTAGTATGACCTGAAACACCAATCTCCCTCAAAGGAGGTGAACTGTCCATGATCATGCTGATTGACCTCAGGTAGTAAGACCAAGGTACTTGATAACCTGGCAATACACCCCAACTCTTTGTTGTACCCTCCAAAGGCTGGTGGTGCTCCAGCTGAGACTGTTGACTTCTGGACAACTGGTGCTGATGTATCCAAAGTCTCTGCTGATAGGCCACTCTCCTAGAGCTGAGAGGTCTGACCTGTGCTTGATCTCTATGAAAGCTCATGAGGCGAGCCTGACACCCCTTCTTTTGGCAAGGTTCTCATCTACAAGTAACCAAATCCCTGATTACACCCCTGATGACCCACCCCAATTGCCTGATGTCCATACTGATTCTGCTGGCATTGCACTATGCTGCCCAAGTCTAGGTGTGTCAGGGCACCAGCTCATTGGTTGGTCAAGAGACATGACTAAGCCTTTATGACATGGAAGTAGCTGGTATACCTTGGCATGTGCTGGAACCTGCTGGAAGGATTGGATGGTCAGGTGACCTGCTGTGCATGGCTGTGCATGACCTCATATGACCTCATCCTTGGTCATATCACCTGATCACCTGACTAGGCTGAGTAAGCAAGATGTTCTAGCAGGTTCCACCACAGAGGTATAAATATAAGGCCTACT